GTGAAGGAAAAAAATCAAACCGAAAATAAGCGATATTAAGCGAAGAGAAAGAGAAAAGAGAGAAACAATGTAAAGAAATGAAGGAAAAAAATCAAACCGAAAATAAGCGATATTAAATGAAGAGAAAGAGAAAAGAGAGAAACAATATAAAGAAGTGAAAGAAAAAAATCAAACCGAAAATAAGCAATATTAAGCGAAGAGAAAGAGAAAGGATAGAAACAAAATAAAGAAATGATGAAAAATGATTTAACCTGAAAATAAGTGATATTAAGCAAAGAGAAAGATAAAATGAGAAAATAAAAGGGATGTTAGGATCACTGGAACCTAGATTCTGTTCTTTGGATTTAAAAACAACAAATAATAAAAAAAAAAATAAAAAGAAAATTGGATTAAAGTAATTATCAATTATAAAAGAATCAAAGAAAGTCACGAAAAAATGTCTAAAGATAATATTCAGAGAGAATTTGATTTGTAACTGTATCTATATATTAATTTATATTAATTTATATCGATTTATAACAATTTAACTTTATTTTTCTATCAAGCGAAACTAACTTTGTAAACAACTTGCATCATATTATGCATAACATAATAATATAGGCAAATGTTATATGAGTGCCACTAAAAGAATACCTGAGTCACTGGGCTTTCAATTGTATTTTGTACTGGATATATTTCTAATAAATTAAATAGATTGTGTCTGGTACAAAATATAATTGAAAGCCCGATAACTCAGATATTCCTTTAGTGGCACTCATATAATCTTATTGAGTATTATATTATTTAGATTTGTGACGAAATTATGCAATATAGCAAAAGCTCAGCTATGCGATAAATCTCAAAACATCATCATTATAAGTATAATAACCAAAAGTCAACAGATAAGTATCTCTCTTTTATTTACATTACATTTTTTATTATTAAATTTTAAATTTTATTAATTCTTGCAAAATCGTTACAATTATATAAATACAATAGTTTTCTAAGGTTTGAAGATAAGGACATTTTTGAAATTTTGAATAATGGAAAACTTATCTTCTACTACCCCTACTAAACATGCTCGTTCTCAATTAGTTTCTAATATACCACATAATACCACTGACCCTAAACAATCACCTCAAACTGATCGTTCTCAATCAGTTTCTTCTAATGCACCATATAAATCTACCAATCCTCAACCAACGTTTACTAATACACCATATAAATCCACTGATCCTCAACCAACATCTAACAATACTAACCTTCAAAAACAACCTAAAAATCCTTGTTCTAATGATGATTTAGATTCATCTACAAAAAGTATTTTAAGTGTGCAATCTATTTTTTCTAAAATGAGTAGAAGAGGCCAACAACAAACATCTCAATACCAACAATCTCAATGACAACAATCTCGTCAACCTTCTCAAAGACACTCACCTCCTCGTTCTCGTTATACAACACCAAATAACAATTTAAATCATTCCTTATTGCTACAGCTTTTACCTGATCATGAGCATAGAGGAAGATCATGTAATAGAAGATCATCCAACCAAGATGCATTACGTTAGTAATTTTTTCAATATATAAGCCTTTTTTATTTTTTATTTTTTTCTTTGAATGCTTGAGTTTTATTTTTTTTTTTATTATTGAGAATTTTATTTTTTGATTTTCATTAAAAACAAAAAAAAAAAAAAACTGTCAACACCACTGCCAAGAGTTCGAACAACTTTATGCACAGAATCGCCAGTTGTACTTATTATTAAAGCAGCTCAATGAGAATGTTCAAGGAATAGCTGCTGAACTAAAAAGGAAGTGAGAAGAGCATGACAATGGGCTCTCTCCTTAAGTGATAGATGTAAATGATTTTTCCTCTTAATATGTTTTTCTATATTTAGCCTGTTTTTTGATTTAGCCTATTTTTTGTAACTGTTTTTTATTTTAAAGAGAATATATAATGGCATTGTAAAACGTTTATTTCTATTCTATGTTTATCCAGACCAAAATATCTTGAAAGAAGCTATGAAGAGCTACCTTGAGGATCAATTCTCTGAGTTCTTGCATAGTATAACTTCTAACCAATTTACAAATCATTTTCATGGTAAATGATGTAATGCAGTACGTTATTAATCAATAATAATCAATAATAATTTTTTTTTAATTTGTTATTGTTATCAGTTGCTTATAATATTATTTTATATTCGTGATCTTTGCATTATAGTATTACTGCTATAAATATTTTAACTGTATAAATTTGTTATTTTAATAGCTTCTCCAAAAAATGAAGAATTATAGAAGTTCAGCGGTGCAGAGCGTTAGGTCAACAATGTGAAAAGTTTTTGGATCGGAACGGTTACCTCTCTTGAAAAGTAACGCCAAGGCCCATGTAATCGTAAAGTGGAAAGAAAATCCAAAAATAAGCGAATGTCATCGTTTATTATTCGAAAAAAATGATGATGGTTTGTTCTGGATCTCTGTAATAGCAAGGACTGCATTTTCAGAAGTTGCAGTTCCTACTCTAACGAATGAACATTGCGCTTTTGCACTCGCAGTGTGTGACGTATTCTTGCATCCCAAATCTAAAAGTGTTACATGTGACGAGAAAAATATGAAACGTCAGATCAAAAGCTATCTTGTATGTATTTACTGTTTTTCTTTATTTCTTTATTATAAGATTATTGTACAATACTAACGTTTTAATAAATATAGAATGATTTTAATAACGATGGTTCCTCTTATAATTCGTCAGAAATAATGAAGCAAGGGGTCAGCCCGTTCTGAATCACGGGCGAATACTCCCGAATTCGGATCTAATACTCCTTCTTAGGGTAGTGGTTCTATAGCTCTTTTTTCACAAGAAGATCTGGATGATTTGTTTAGTTTTACAAATTATGTTGATTAATTTAGTTTTAATTAGTTATGTTCGTTGCATGTAATTCAGCGATTTGTATTTTTTATTTTTCAATTAATAAATTCTATTGCAATAAGCATTTTTTTTTTGCGTATTAAAAAGTAAATATTTGATTTATTAGTATTGATTTACTAAATATGAATAATAAGTGTATAGTATGATGATATCGATATTGGTACAAATAGAAAAATTCGATTAAAATCATTACACATACGTTAATTGATATGAATTGAGATTTTTATCAATTTCTATCTAAATCAATAGAAATCGACGGGATTACTATCGATTCTATCTAAATCGATAGTAATCGGCGGGATTACTATCGATTTCTATCTAAATCGATAGTAATCAGCAGGATTACTATCGATTTCTATCTAAATCGATAGTAATCAGTGAGGGAGATTTAAATCGATGCTTATTTAATAACCGTTTAAAATTGATACTAATCCCTTTGTAAATTTTGCTGATGGTAGTGATCTAAAAATTGGCTGTAGATTTTAGCAATATAACTTAAGGCTAAACATTAATTACTTCCTAAATTTAGTAAATGAGATAAAAAGTTGTTTATCTCTTGTTTATCGTCAAAGCATTATTGATCATATATGCATTTATCATATACGCCAAAATATAAAGTCTAAAATAGAAAATCATGTGAAATTAAAAGTAATTTATAAACGTAATTTAAAGACGATTTTAAAAATATATACTATTACTGTGGCCTAAATAAAATTTTATTTTGACTCCTGTAGTTCTAAAAACGATAAGATTATTAATAAGGTCCAAGTGGATTAATTCTCAAAGTTTAATTAACGATTTATAAAATCTGCAGATCATGTGATAAGTATTTGTCAAATTTAAGAAGATATTACAATTAATTTACTAGGCCCAGTATTAATAATCTTAATATTTTTTAGAAGTATAAATACTATCAAACAAATTTAATTAAAAATTAAAAAGTTTATATAATATTGAACCCACTTTTAGATTACTTTTTATTATACTATTCTTAATTTTTAACTTTCTAACAATTTAACTTAAAAGTTTATAAGAAAATTTCAGGTAAAATTATTATATATTATTTTTTTTTTTACTTGACTGAATTTGAAGCTATTAAAATATTAAATTTTGGCAAAAAAATATTAATCTATATTAAGACATTATTAATATTTTTGAAATAATCGCAATTACAATATTAGCCAACTAAATAAGGACTTTGATTATTATATTTTCTCAATATAAAATATAGCTATATGTAATAATACAGTAATTAAGAGATTTTATTAATTATTTTTTTTCCTCTAATGCTAGACTAAGTATTTGCATAGTAATATAGCATGATAGAATTTTTTTAATGTTTTTACTTAGTAGGAATTAGAAGTAATATGTATAATATAAGTTTTTAACTACTAAAAAAATTATTTTTACTAGCTAATTTTTACTATTAAAAGGTTATATTGGTTAAATTTTTTTTTGAATATAAGAGATAAAGGTACAAAAATTATTATTAATTAATAAAATATTAGATTATATTTAAAAAAATAAGTATTATTTTGTTTTAAATAAAATATACATTATTTTTGTATCACTATTAATGAGACGGCCAATATCTAAACTATAGATTTGATATTCTCCAGCTACTTTATTTGGTGCTTAAGAACAGTTTGCTTTATCAGTTGAGGCATTTTGTCTATACTAGAGGGCTGCACCAAGCTAGTTTATGAAACTATACCAAAATAGCTTATTTATTTTTAATATTATTACAGTATTATAGCCTTCTTAACAACAATACTATAATAATGATATAGTTACAGAAATTTTTTACAGGTTTATAGCAGTATTCAAGAGATAAATATAATTTTTACTTTAATTAGAAACTATACCCTTCTTTTTGTAGCAGTTCAAACAGACAATGATTTAGAAATAAATCCTATAATATTACAAGAGAGAATTTAAGAGAAGAGGCTCTTCCAGACTATCTAAATTGGTAGTTTAGAAAAATCAGAGTATAGTAGATAGTCTATAAAGTGAGTATTAAGGTTTGAGTAAACTTTACAAGAGCAAAAATAGATAATAGTAGTAGCTTCAGCTTGCAAGTACTTGTTCTTAGATTTGTCATAAATTATCAAAGTCTAGGTTAGCTAAATTGTAGATATAAAAAGTTCTAATAATGATATCTCAAGAATAAATCAGTTCTAAGAAAATAAGAAAAACATCCAAAACTTCTCAATTAACTAATATAACAGAAATATACTGATAATACAAGTAAGTTATATTATAGAGTATTTAAATAAACAATCTTCTAGTTAGGTTATAAATATAGCATCTAGTATAATCTTTATAATATAATGTTATTACAAGGACTACTTAAATAGACAATCAAAAGTTAAATATATAGCTAATTATACTCACTAATATAATAGGAGGTTTGTTTTTTTTTTTTGTAGTTAAGGTTAGCCTCTTTGGCTCACTGCTTTTATTAGATACTAGGATTATATGGTGCCCTTTTCAAGGAGGCCTCAGACAAGTACATTCTGACAAGAGTATATTCTAGCCATACCTGCACCTTTTGAATGCCTAATTAAGTATTTACCTATTACTAGGTTCTACACTAGATGTCATATCTGTAACCTACTATTATTTGAGCTATCCAATTAAATTCTCTGATTCAAGTTTTCTATACTAATTCATCTAACCTCACCTGGAACATGTGATATATTAGTCAATCCAAGTTCCGAGATCATTGCAAGTTCACTTCTAGGACTACTAATATTTAACTGATTCATCTTTAAGTACATCATCTGCTAAAGCTATCCATTACTCACTTTTAACATATGACCTAGTTTTTTTCAGATAGATATTACCAGATAGGTTCTATACCTTTACAGGCAGGCTATACTGCCAATCTCTACTGCAGATAGGTAGCCAGATAGATTCTAAACCTTTATGGGCAGGCCACATTACCTAACTACCTGGCCCTTGCAAAATTTACTTAAGCCTCAGTACAGGATCCCGAACAATCTACAAACAGCTAACAATTTGTAAAAATTACTAAAAATAGAAAGATCTGCAGAAAAAAAGCCTAAAATAAGCAAACTAATTACTAAAAATAGAAAGATTTGTAGAAAAAGTAGTATGAAATAAGTAAATTAAAATCTTACCTGTCTATAGATTGTTCAGGATTCTCCTGGTACTCTTCCTTCAAGACAACCTAGTACCTTCTCTTTTAGTATCCTCTAGCCAGTCTCTTTAGACTACCAATTCAGATGGCTCGGAAAGAATACCAGTTTTTTTTTCAGTCGACCCAGTGGTCTGATTGGTGAAGAAACTTGCTAATACTCTTGCCTTATCCAGTTTTTCAGCCTCAAATGGAGCCTGTTCTGATAAGCACTGTCAAAAGCTTGTTCTATCTTTCTACTCAGATTTTGCTAAGCGGGCTTTCTATAGTGCTATTCATTGAATTAACATAATTCGAAGGACTTATTATGAGTTTATGCCACCTTATCAGTTTTGTATTCTCTTTATACAACTCGTACATTACACAAATATCCAGATCTTTTTTAGATCGACCTGATAGTGCAATAGATATTATTCTTATATAAGGTATAATCGATATTATAGGATCTTCTTCCCAATATACGAGAGAGTTACTATTACATGAAAGAATTTAATTTTTCGCTGTTAGTGGGAATTGAACTTTAGATGTGCTGTTTGGAGGGTAACAACTCAACCACTTTACTAAGTCACTATACTTCTAATAAAAAGTTTGTTACAAACCTTCTTATCTAATAACTTGAATAAAAACCTTAGCTCCAAAGAGGCTAGTTAACAAAAAAAAATTTGAATGTTAATTTTACTTTTAAAAATAAAATATATAAAATAAAGAAAATAACTATAATTAACTGAAGGGAAAATTATTGGTTTGTATAATATGTAGATCAGTATCAATAAAATAAATGAAATTCTCTTCTTTTAGTTTAGCATAAAGGTTGCGACCTATGATTAGGGTTAGAGCAAAGTATAAATTATATACAAAATTTAGCAAGGAATTTTTTTTGTTAAAACTCAAAAGAAGATTTCATAAGCGAATTTTTGAGATATTTGCGATTTTTTAAAAAATTCTTTGTTTTTGTCATATAAAATTAATTTATACATTACACCTAATCTTGCAATTTTATTGGCTAATTACACACTGGTAATTTCTCTTCTGATTAAAATTAGCAATACTCTAAAATAAATAAGAATATACTATATTATTATAATACTAGGAATCGGGAACCGATATAAGTCCGGAGCATTATAAATAGCTTTGAAGTAATTTTGTTAGTAAACTGTTATGTTCTTAAAAAGTACTCTAAAGTGTATAAATAAGTTACCCGGATAATTAATTTAAACCAGCCAATCATATGAATAACTTATCATGAGTCTGTATTACCGTATTTATCATATTTAGAGGTCGTCTAAAGCCAGGTGCGTTCACGTGACTTACAACCAATCAAGGCGTAAATTTTGATTTACCCGGATCAGCCCGACGAGATAAAAACAAAGAAAAAAAATGAAAATCGTGAGAAATACGAGAAACGAGTATCTAAACCTGCTTCGGGGCACTAATAAAAAAGGTCGGGAAGACAATTTTATTTATAAGCCTTGCCCTAACCTTAACCTCTAATTAACCCTTACTTTAATTTTAATTAAATAATCAAAAACATATAAACGTACCGGGCTTTAGCCATCTCCCATATTTATCAGTTTTGTTGTTCAAAACAGTTATGCAATCATACGTCACGCATGCGGACAGACAAAAAATTTCCAAATTACGATATTGATATATTTGTTTATGTTAATTATGTTGATGCATCAAAAAAGAATTTTTCATGATCGAAACGCATCAAAAACGTAACTTTTGTATCACTTAATGC